AATGGGCTGAGCACACACCCCTGTGGAGCCCCTGTGCTTAGCGTGATGGTCTTGGAGATGTTACTGCCGACCCACACATTTTGTGGCCTCCCTGTTAGAAAGTCCAGCACCCAGTTGCAGAGAGTGGTTTTGAGTCATAGGTAAATATACAGCCTTATGACATATAGTAAATATTATGCACATTCTCAAGGAAACAGATTATTATGTACCTTGTGATGATACCTCATCCAGGTTTGTCACAGTCACATCTTCCTGCATGGAATATCAGTCACCATACAGGCAGACCAGGTGAAGGAAAGATTTATATGCCCATAACCCCAAAACATCCTGTGAAATAGTCGAGTGTTTTCCAGGTTTCACTCTTGCACCGCACAGGTCCCTGGACATGTGGTTTCTCTGCCTTACACTTTATCATGGGTGTCCCTGTCATCTGGTGTGAAACAAGACAGTTCAGAGATCACAGTGATTTGGAGGGATACTGAGATGGAGTCAGAGCTGGAGACAGATTGATATCGCCATGGTGAAAGTCCAGGTCACACTCTGGTTCTTAGGTGAAATGTATGGTCTTTCAGAAACATAATTAATGTGCTTTGTTTATTGCCTGTCTGATTACATATAAAACTATTTAAACTAAATTGTACAGCCTCCAAGTTTGATATTTGAACACTGGACATGCACTTCTCATATATTTTACATAATTCTGGCACCATTCTTAACAGCTAGGACCATGTACATTTATTTAAATAGGGTCATCTCTGGCCAGAGTTGATTACAGTGCAATAAAAAAAACAAATAAGGACACACCTTAACCTAAATACACAGTGTGCATACAGTAAATAAACCAGGCTCACTATGCCCTGCCCAAGAGCTTCCCACCAAATGAACACCTATTAAATGTTGGAGGTTGTTTTTTTAAACAGTCTTTAAAAAATCAACTGCAAACTTTTGAGGGCCAGGTCATATTTACTTTCTCTCCATTGCAAACGATTGTTGCACTCTTTTGTACATTCTGTTCATCTGTGGGTGACGCACAGAACCAACAGAAACCACCCGTTTAGCCCAACATTTAGCCTCTTAGTTTGGTTAAGAGTTCAGTGATCAGGTCCATGGAATTACCCACCCATTTTGCAAGCTTTGCAAGAAATATCTTTATTTGAATTAACAAGCTCCCATGAAGGACACAATATAAACACTTACCTAAACTATGATTTCAGCAGGGCTTGTATGTCATATGATGATGGTTAGACAAATAACAAAATGCTTCGTGGCAGAAAAGTTTTGAAAGTAAATCAAAAATAATAGAGGTACAGAATATACACTCACCGGCCACTTTATTAGATGCACCTTGCTAGTACCAGATGGACATGGTCAGAAACAATACTCAGGTAGGCTGTGGCATTTAAATGATTCTCACTTGGTACTAAGCGGCCTAAAGTGTGCCATGTAAATGTCCGCACATCATTACACCACCACCACCAGCATGAACTGTTGATACAGGATAAGCTGGATGGATCGGTTCTGTACCGGAAACAAATTCCTTGTGTGTAACATACTTGGCCAATAAAAGTGATTATCCTTATCCTTATCATTAATATTGTTTACGTCAAATTCTGACCCTACCATCCGAATGTCACAGCAGAAGAAATCAAGACTCAGACCAGGCAATGTTTTTCCAGTCTTCTGTTGTCCAGTTTTTTGAGTCCTTGCAAATTGTAGCCTCTGTTTCCTGTTCTTCGATCACCGGTGGAGCACCTGCTGTGGTGTTCTGCTGCTGCCGCCCATCTGCCTCAAGGTTTGTCGTGCATTTAGAGATGCTCTTCTGCGTACCTCGGTTGTAACAAGTTGTTATTTGAGTTACTGTTGCCTCTCTATCAGCTCGAACCAGTCTGGCCATTCTCCTCTGACCTCTGGCATCAACAAGGCATTTTTGCCCAGAGAACTGCTGCTCACTGGACATGTTCTCTTTTTTGGGCAAAAATGACTTAGAGCAGTTAATTTTTAGGTTCAGTTCTGACATTAAGCTTAGCTGACCAGAAGTCACCTCCTCTAACTGTGGGCAGAAGAAAACCCCATTCTTCCTTGGAGTGCCTCTTTTAATCCCTTTAGCCTGTGGGCATAGCTACTTAAGAAACCTAAAATTACTGTTTTTTTCACGCTGTTTTGTATTTCTGATATTCCTTTGTCATTTAAAACAAATATCTAACATTTCTCTACATGTGTTACTCAACTCTTCATGTGCTTGTGACATATACCTTATATAACACTAAGTGTGCAGCCATAGTAAACTACAGAGCAGTAGATTAAATATTTAATAATTTAAGGTGATGAATGAAGGAATGATAGGTTATAGGCCGCACCCTCACAGTTGTAGAGTAAACTAATATTGACTCTATGGTGTAGCTACTATATGTGTGTGTGCGCGTTACACACGGTCAGTGACGAGTGCTCCATCACAACCACTATCATTTTTGTTGTTTTAGCAAGGCTGTATTGATCATTTCTTTTTCTTTATTAAGGTATAATAAAATACACAAAATATGTAAACAATATTAAAATAAAACAATTTTCGGAGCAAAATGGCTTCTGTAAGCAAAAGTCAATATTTAGTGTGACCTCCCTTTGCACTTAGCATAGCTTAAATTCTTTTGGGGAAACTGTCTTGAGGTTATCTTAAGTAATCTCCTGGTATATTATACTAGTCTTCCTTTAGCACTTCCCAGAGTTCTTCTTTAGACTGTCTTTTATTTCTTGGCCTTCTACATCTATTTTTGTCTTTGACCTCTCCAGATTTTCATATTTTTTAGAACAGCTTGAATACCGCATTTTGAATAGCTAGTTGTTCGCTGATTTCCCTTTGAGAGTGTCCTTGCTGATGCAAAATTGTGATTTTATGCTTGTCAAATTCTGTAATATTTGGCATTTTGAATTCAGCGGTGTGACCAAAACTTGATCTTAGCGAGCTTCCAAAGAGTTAAACTCATACATCGGTTGCATGTAGTGTTCATACAGCTTAACCAAAAGTAGCTCAAACAGTCAATTGAAAGTTTCACGTCTTAAATTAAGCCTGGGGTAGCACAGCTGCAGTAAATCCAATTTTGTCTGCTCAAGAGAATTCAACACTTGTTAAGTGCAAGGGGAGGATACACTACATACTCGTCACTTTTGCCTATAGAAGCAGTTTTTTCCAGATATTTTTGTTTTTTTAATACTGTGTACATGTCTTCTAGTTATATTTTAAAAAAGTGAGAAATAAATATGGCCAAAGACTTTTTGCATAGTGCTGTATATTCCGTGACATATCAATATGTTATCTGATATTCTTTATATATTTTTATATTACTCAGACCCAGCCCTATTATCAAACTGTACTGCTAGATGTCTGCTCAGAGTTTCTTGGGTAAATCTGAGGATAGATTGTGATGTTGGTCTTATCGCATTCTTGCCTTACCCAGCCTGAAATGGATAATATTATTTGGTTACACCAGAATATACAGTCCAGTTGAAAGTTGACAAATAATGAAATAGACCTAAATCTGCCTGGAGTTTAAATCCAATGGCATTGGAATGTCTGCTGATTAAAAGAAAAAACAACTGGGTCATGTTTAATAAGCATAACTTGCTTAATTTATGTCTTGATGCCTCTTTTTCACTTAATAGAAAAAACATGTTTCCAAGTAAGGACAGGTTCACAAGGACTCGGATCAGTTTCCTGAAGATAAGTGACAGACTGTGTATGCCACTTGATTTCTGTTATAAAAACAAAAGATGATTCATCCATTTATACAGTTTGAACTGGATTTCACACCCATGTAAACATACAGAATGTCCTACATCTCATGCCAAGTTCTGCCTTAATTTGTTTTAGAGGAGGGGTATTTTTTTTTCCCAAAAGTCATACCTCTCAGGTTTTAATGTTCTCATTGGTTGTGTTTTTGTCTGTCCGAGTATATAAGAGGATGGAACTGTAAAAATTCATCACACTTGTTTCTTAGCAGGTAAGTCTGAGATGATTTAAGTTGGCTGTTTGGTGAAATCAATGCATTTAATTGTACTTAAATATATTTTAAATACTTAAGAAGACTTTCTGTCTTTCAGGCATGGGGACTCTGCTATTGCTGTGTGCTTTGGGAGCACTACTCAGCTGTAAGTATGTTTTGTTATATTCTGATTCTTTGGTTTCTTTTTTTGTTTTTACATGTGTGGCAGCACCTACTTGAATGTTACTCATTTATATTCCAATGTGATACTTCCATGCTTGTTTTCAACCAGTGGTCCGTGGTGGTCCATGAAGACAATGCAGGTCATCCTTGGCCATGAATTCAGTAATATAGTTTTTAAACACATTTCCATTTATTACTTATTGTTTGTGATTTATCACATTTCTGCAAATATATAAATTTTAGAAAAGCCGAGGTGACTTTCAGAATTAAAGTAGTGCCCATCTGGTTTATCCACCACACACCAGAGGTCCTCGGGTTGCTTCTTAGTCACAGTGGTGATCTCTGGGTCATAATCAGTTGAAAACCCCTGTTGTACAGCCTTACCAGGTGCTTGTGAGAATGAACCAGAATGTTAAACAGGTGAATAATTTTGGAGTGCAGCCCATAATGGATAGACATCTAAAATGAAAATTGCTTTTGTTGGAAATACCATTTACCTTTAGCTGCTATTGAGTTGGTACTATCTTATTGAATGGGTGAAACAGGAGTGTAACCTAAATCCCCCAGGTCCTGACTTTGTCCTAAAAATGTTCCTTTCACAGCAAAGGCACAGATATTGATAATATTTCCATTATGCAGTTATATTTTCTGTAAAAGTGACTTACCAAGTGCTGCTGAGTGACTATTTCTCTAACCCTATCACAATAGTTATCAAGAAAAATAGGCAACCCATTCATTCTAGAAGTGTATTCAGCCTGGCTTTTTAACTTTGAAATGAAGGAATTTTTCAGTCACTTTCTCTTCAGTGTCAGTGTTTCTTTGTACTGTACATGATCCAAGATGCCTCAAGCCAAGTTTTGTATTGCCAGTATCCTTCGACTGTCTTGGCACAAATAGTCCCATTCATTTCCTAATGGGTTTTTTTTTTCATACACAAGATTCGTGAAGCACAGTTTTGTACCTGACTACTTCATTGTATAAAAATTGAAATTAAATCTTTTGCGTTTTTGTGTCTGTTTCCTTTCTCTTTCCCCATCTGTCAGGTCCATCTAGTGCTGGATGGGCAGGGAGGGAGTTTGTCCTATCATTCCTGCAGAATTATAATACAAATTATGATACTCCTTGCTTTAAGCTCCTCATCACTGCCATTCAGCCCAATGCTAAAGTGGTAGTGCAAGTGCCTACCTTAAAATTTAAGGAAGAGAAAATTCTAAATACTGGAGATGGGATCACTGTCAGTCTCCCTGCTGCTGTTGAGATGTCTGGCATTGTGAAGTCTCTCAACACCGTGCGTATTGAAGCCTCAGCAGATGTGTCTGTGTCTTCATTCAGTTCCAAGTTGTACACGGGAGACACCTCTGTGGTGCATCCTATCACTGACTGGGGTACAGAGTATGTCATATTTACACCTGAAGGATCGCCCGCTGGCTCCTTCAAAGAGTTCGCTGTGACAAATGGAAAAGAGAGCAACAAAATAGAGATTTCTCCATATGGTCTAATCAAATTCGAGGGTAAGGCCTATCGGCTGGGCAGTCGCATGGTAATAGATCTTCAGCCATATGAGAGTATCCAGCTTCAGAGTGAGGAAGACCTTACAGGCACCCAAGTTACTTCCCAACGCCCTGTTGCTGTTTTCACGGGTCACACTTGCACCTGGCAATTTTCAAGATGTGACCATGTTTATGAGCAGCTACTGCCAGTAAGTAGCTGGGGATCCAACTTTATTGTGCCTCCCCTGAAACACCAGACCAAATATGATAGTGTCTACCTCCAGGCCTCCCAGCCCACTCAAGCCACCGTGCAATTAGGCAACCGTGAACAGACTATAAGGTTGGTCAAAGGGCAGAGGACGGAGTTCCGCTTCACCAATCCTTTAACAATGTCCCTTAAGTGTGATCATGGCATCCAGGTGTTGCTGCTCTTCAATGGTGTCACACTGGACGGGGGTAAATTCTATGATCCTTTCTTGATAAACATCCTGTCCACAGATCAGTTCTGTACCTCTTATTCACTAGAAGCTCTAGAAGGCTTTGAAAATCAAGCCTTGTTTGTGGCACAGACCAAAGCAACAGCAGAACTTCGTATTGATGGTGCAAACCTGGCCGATGTCCAGTGGAAGCCAGTTACAGGGACAGATTTCTCTTGGGCTTTCATGCCCTACAGCACCACATCTGGCAAAAGCAGACACACTGTGTCCAGCTCTGGTTCCAAGTTTGGTCTCTACAGTATAGGTGTCGGCCAGATGACTGGTTATGGTTCCCCAGCACAATGTTTACAGCCAGGTAAGGTGTGCACACACTGTAGCTGAATTGTAGCTGTTGTAGCTGAATTTATTCACCTCTCAAAAAAAATTGTTTCAACCAGATATTATTATAATAAAGACATGAAATATTACCTGAAATTGTGTGGGAATCTGCTTTATTTTCTTTCTGGGTTTCTAGGAAGTGGATCTTTGTCCTGTAGTAGTATCACCTGCAGTGACAATGAGGTGTGTGAGATGAAGGAAGGGTATCCCTCCTGTGTCCCCAAACCTGTGGAAACCAAGCCTGGTACCTGCTGGGCTATGGGAGATCCTCACTACCGTACCTTTGATAACCGATACTTTGACTTCATGGGTACCTGCACGTACGTCATTGCTAAAAACTGTGGAAAGGATGATAAACTTCCAGCCTTTGAGGTCCTCGCCCAGAATGAGAACAGAGGAAGCCTTAGGGTGTCTTATGTCGCGCGGGTCATAGTGAAGGCGTATGATGTCACTATCACAGTAGTTCGGTCTGAGACCGGTCGTGTAAGGGTAAGCCATCATGTTTCTGGTAATAAAAGATGCTTTTTGTTTCAAAACATCTACATACATTTTAAATATTGGTTGATGCTTTTTGTTTCAAAATATCTACATACATTTTAAATATCGGTTGATGGTTTTTGTTTCAAAACCTCTACATACATTTTAAATATTGTTTATGCTTCAACGCATCATGACTGTTAGTTTTCAATATTTGCGTGAGCCATTAGAATGCAAACATTTGTTTATGAGAATTATGAATGTAATATCTTTTGTAACACACGTTTTGTTCTCTTCTGTGCAGATTAACAACACTCTGTGGAGTTTGCCCTTAACCTTGAACAACAACCAGCTGAATTTATTTCAGAGTGGCCGCTCTGTGGTCATTGAAGCTGCTTTTGGTCTGACAGCCCGTTATGACTGGCAACAGTATCTTGAGGTCACTCTGTCTGGCAGTTATGCTGGTAAAACTTGTGGTCTCTGTGGCAATTTCAATGGCAATCCCAGTGATGATTTCACCACACCCTCTGGCACCCAGGCAGATGGGCCCTTGGCCTTTGGGAGCAGCTGGAAGGTGCCTGGGCCGGCTGACAATCCTAAGTGCAGAGATGACTGTGTGGGTGGGTGTGAGCGCTGTGAGGACAGCCAGATGGCAAAGTGGCAGGGTGACATGTTTTGTGGGCTCCTCACAGTTGTAGAAAATGGACTATTCCGCAAATGTCATTCTGTCATTGACCCTAAAGTATACCTGGAGAACTGTAAATATGATCTCTGCATGGGAGGTGGCCTTCGACATTTTCTTTGCAGGTCACTGGAAGCTTACACTGAAGCCTGCCAGCTTGCTGGGATCCAGATTCCAGAGTGGAGGATAACTGCACAATGCCGTAAGTAATGCTAGCTAAAGTACTAGTATGGATTTTTTTTCCTCATTGCTGTCCCAAGTGTTTACCATAATCTGTTTTGTTGTTCTTCCCACTAAAGCTGCCGATTGTCCAGCCAACAGCCACTATGAACTCTGTGGCAGTTCCTGTCCTGCCACTTGTTCTGATCCTAAGGCCCCTACCAAATGCAAACGCCCCTGTGTGGAGACATGCACCTGCAACACAGGCTTTGTTTGGAGCGGAAGTCAGTGCGTGCCTGAAGCCCAGTGTGGCTGTAGCTACGAGGGTCGATACATCCCTGTTGGGGAGTCATTCTGGGCTGACCAGGGCTGTCAGCAATGGTGTACGTGTGTTGCTGGTAGCAGACGTGTGGAGTGCAAGAATAAAGGCTGTGGGGCAGGGCAGCAGTGCCAGGTAGTAGAGGGCATAAGAAAGTGCCAAGCTGTCTCTGAGAGCACCTGCCAGGCCACAGGTGACCCCCATTATGTGACCTTTGACAAGAAGAGGTTTGATTTCCAGGGCACATGTGTATACCAACTGGCTGCACTCTGCTCTAAGAACCCTGAGTTGGTGCCTTTTGAAGTGCTGGTGCAGAATGATCACCGGGGTAGCAAAGTGGTTGCCTACACCAAGTTAGTAGAGATCAAGGTGTATTCCCTCAGCATTGTCATTACTAAGACACACAAGGGCCTGATTATGGTAAGAGCAATTTGAAATTTTAATTCAGTGATTGATTTGATAATTTTCTATAGTATATCTAATATATCATCTCTGTACATATCATGGTGTGTTCTTCTCCAGGTTAATGAAGAGTTGGTCAACCTGCCTGTCACTCTGGCTGAAGGACAGGTGTCTGTGTATAAGAGTGGCTTGTATGCTGTTGTCACCGTAAACTTTGGTCTCAAAGTCACCTTCAACTGGGAGAGTGCAGTGTTTGTTACACTGCCGAGCAACTACATGGACGCTGTTTGTGGCCTCTGTGGCAACTATAACGGCAAACCTCAGGATGATTTGATTCCAAAGAACGGTGACAAACCCGTTTCCCAAGCAGAGTTTGGTACCAGCTGGAAAGTGGCCGACATCCCAGGCTGTGTTAATGGCTGTAAAGGAGTCTGCCCTGACTGTGACATTAACCAGAAGGTTCAGTATGAGAAAGGAGATTTCTGTGGCATATTGCGGGACCCCAAAGGGCCTTTCCGTGATTGCCATGCTAAGGTGGACCCAGCTGGCTACTTTGAAGACTGTGTTTATGATGTTTGCTTGTATAAGGGCAAAAAGGATGTGCTGTGTCAAGCTATTACAGCATACACAACTGCCTGCCAGTCTGCGGGTGCCAAGGTGTACTCTTGGAGAACCAATGAGTTCTGTGGTGAGAAATGCATTCATTTCAATAAAATCAATTACATAAAAGGCAAAGTGAGCATTGCTTACTGTAGCAGTGCAGAAAGTAGAACAAAATATGGCAGAAATGAAAAGTTCTCTGGGATTTTGTGTAGCTTTGTAACAATTGCCTACATTTGTCTAAATTTAAATGACTCCTGTAATTGAAAAAATAATCCACATTGTCTTTTGTTTCCTCTGTGTACAGCGGTGAAATGTCCAGCCAACAGCCACTATGAAGTTTATGCAGACCCCTGCCCTGCCACTTGCCAGAGTCTGGGCCCTCCTGTAGGCTGCCAGGGTCAATGGAAAGAGGGCTGTTCCTGTGATGAGGGGTACATGCTCAGCGGAGATATCTGTGTTCCCTACTCACAGTGCGGCTGCTTCTACAAGAACAACAACCGCTACTATCGCATCGGTGAAGTGTTTTATCCCAGTGGGGAGTGTCAGGAGGAGTGCAACTGCACACAAAGTGGACAGGTATCATATTAAATGATAGGCTACTTAAATAAGCAATAATATTTTTATACTAGTCACTGTGACTTTCAGTGTTTGGATTTTTATAATATTCTCTATAATTATATCATCTGTGTTTTTCTCAGGTTGTATGCAAGAAGTTTTCATGTGGCCCTAATGAGAAGTGTAAAGTAGAAGATGGCATCCAAAAATGTCACCCCGTTGGTAATGCGACCTGCCACGCCTCTGGTGACCCCCATTACCGCTCTTTTGATGGGCAAACATTCGATTTCCAGGGCACCTGCACCTACACACTCGCAAAGAGCTGTGGCCTGGAAGGCACCCGTCTGGTGGCCTTTTCTGTTGTTGTGGAGAATGTGGAGTGGACCCAGATGAACGTCAAAGGGGTGTCTGTCACTAAGATGGTTGCTGTGGAGGTCTATGGCTTCACTCTCATTATGAGGAACAACATGTTTGGAGTCCTGGTGAGCAATGACACTTCATTTACCTATGTTCTTCATTTACCAGATGGTAAAAATACTAGCTCAACAAATATGTTTTACCTTTCTTAGCACCAATAAGACTTGTCCTTTTTTTAGGTAAATGGGGTGTTTAACTATCTTCCTGTGAATCTTAATAATGGCGCAGTGCTGGTCTATCAAGAAGGCATGCGTTATGTTATTGCAATGGATAACGGGGTGGTTGTCACTTATGACCTGGTCTTCCATGCAACTGTCACAGTACCTGGTAATTACCGTGACAAGGTCTGTGGCTTGTGTGGCAACTTCAACGGTAACCAAAAAGATGACTTCCAAATGCCCGACCGCCGCCTCGCCAACAATGCGAATGCGTTTGGAAAATCATGGAAGGTCACCATTCCTAATGTGGTGTGCAACGACGGCTGTGAAGGGAATTCCTGTCCGAAATGTGACCCAACTCGCAAGGCTATTTTTTCAAAGCCCACTTACTGTGGTATTGTTACAGCACCCACTGGTCCTTTTGCAGTGTGCCATAGTAAACTGGACCCACAACCATACTTTGATAACTGTGTGTTTGATCTGTGTGCTTCCAACGGCGATGGAAACGTGCTATGTAACAGCATTGCAGCCTATGCCTACAACTGTCACATGGCAGGAGCAGATGTCAAAAACTGGAGGACGACTTCATTCTGTCGTAAGTGAGAAATTCTCATCTGATCTGTTCTCATTAAGTAAAGAGGCTCTTCTGTAAAGTTTTTCCCCATCTTGTGGGTATTTTTTTTCCCCAGCCATGAAATGCCCAGCCAACAGTCACTATGAGGAGTGTGCAGACGCCTGCTTTGCACCCTGCCCAGGCCTCACAGAGATAGTTCAGTGCCCCGCCAGCTGTACAGAAGGCTGTCAATGTGATCCTGGGTTCGCATTCAACGGACAGATGTGTGTTAAAGAGACTGAGTGTGGCTGCTATGAGAGAGGAAAAACCTACAAGGTAAAATTAAATACAAAATTCATTTCATATACTTTAATGGTCAAATGATTGCCTTTTAGTAACAAAGTGGCCAAAGGAAATTCCAATAGCAATGTTCATGCTGACATGAAGACAGTTTCCTTTACCTTTTCCTCAGTGTTGGACATCAGTAAGTTGACATGTGCACTGAGGATTTCTCTTAACATGTACTTAGTTAAATTTGTTTCTTGATAAGCATGGAGTAATGTGACCATTCTTTAACCACTTATTTCTAGTGTGTTTTTTTGCTTCTCTCCAGCCTGGTGAGGTTGTGTATGAAGAAAACTGTAACACGAAGTGCACCTGTGATCCAATGACAGGCCTCAAATGTGAAAAATACTCCTGCCCTGCAAGCACCAAGTGCATGGTCAAGAGAGAGATCATGGCATGCTACAACACAGGCAAGACAAATAAGTGTTTTGTCTTAAAGGACAGTAATTATTCTCAACTTAATAACAGAGTATATACTCTTTCACAAATTTTACATTAGTATATGAATTTCCCTATTTATTTCCCTTTGCATAGATCCCTGCAAAGATGCTAATTGTCGGGTCAAGGAGACGTGCCGTGTTGAGAAGGGTGAAGCTGTCTGCATCCCTGATTTCACCGGCATCTGCTGGGCCTGGGGTGACCCTCACTACCACACTTTTGATGGTTACAACTATGATTTCCAGGGTACCTGCAAGTACATCATCTCCCAGACTTGTGGGAACCTGGACGGGCTAGTGCCATTCTCAATCACGGAGAGGAATGATAATCGAGGAAACGCAATCGTTTCTTACGTCAGGGATGTAGACGTATCTGTGTATGGGTACACCATTACCATGAGCAAGAACCAGATTGGTCGGGTCACGGTAAGGTTTTAGTTTGTCTGATGCATTTGACCTGTAGTACTTCGGTGTTTGCAGCATACACTGCATATTGTTCTAATTTGTTTCCTTCAGGTGAACGGGGAGCTGCTGAATCTGCCTGTACGACTGGGTGATGGTGAAGTTTCATTATACCAGTCTGGTGCCAATATAGTGGCGGAGACTAAATTTGGCCTAATTGTCACCTATGACTGCAATTGGTCACTATACATTAAACTACCCAGCAGCTACTACGGTAGTGTCTGTGGTCTGTGTGGCAATTTCAACGGTAAGACTACTGATGAGCTCCAGAATCCAGCCGGTAAAGCTGTGTCCTCAGTTATAGAATTTGGCAAGAGCTGGCAAACACCTGACCAGGACAAGGATTATCCTTGCTGGGACACATGTGAGAAAGACTGTCCCACCTGTGATGGTAACCTGGTTAAGCTCTATGAGACTGAGGCTACCTGTGGGGCCCTTGCAGCCAAGACCAACGGTGTGTTCCAGCAATGTCATGGAAAAGTGGACCCTCAGGCCTTCATGAACAGCTGTGTGTATGATGTGTGTATGAATAAGGGAGACATGAAGATGTTTTGCCAGGCGTTGGCCTCCTACGATAAGCAGTGTCGTGAACAAGGAATAATAATCAAGGGCTGGAGGGCAAAGTTTAATTGTCGTGAGTATTTGAGAAGCGCTCTTTTGATCAGTATTTCAATCAAAGATGTATCTTTTTTGTTAATGCCTCTAAATTTAATTTCTTTCCAGCAATGAACTGTCAGCCACACAGCCATTATGAAGACTGTGCCAGTGCATGCCAGCCATCCTGCCCATTCCCCGATGAGAAGAAGATCTGCATAGCTTCCTGTGTTGAGGCCTGTGTGTGTGATACAGGTTACGTTCTCAGTGCTGGTGTCTGTGTGCCAGCTAAAACATGCGGTTGCTCTTATCAGGGTCGCTATTACAAGCCAGGCCAGCGCTTCTGGGCTGACGAGGCCTGCGGTCGCCTGTGTGAGTGTGATACCAGTCTGCAAATGGTGACATGCCGCGAGGCATCCTGCTCTGCCAATGAATTTTGCACCGTAGTTGATGGAGAGCGTGCCTGCAAGCCCATCAGTTATGCCACATGCACAGCCGCAGGTGACCCACACTACCACACTTTTGATGGCAAAAAGTATGACTTCCAGGGCACATGTGTATATCAGCTAGTGGGACTGTGCTCTCAGCAGCCTGGGCTAGTGCCATTCAAGGTGACTGTGCAGAACGACCACCGGGGCAGCAATGCCGTAGCCTATACAAGGACTGTCACATTTTCCATATACGGCATCACCCTCACCATCAGCAGAGAATACCCCAATAGGGTCCTGGTAAGTATGGATATGAGTTGCATGAAAAATGTGAAGCATATGGGTGAATTGATAAAAGACTGAAAAGTAATCAGTCACTTGATTTTATGTAGATTTTCTGAGACAGAAGAAATGGGACAGCATGTAGTTACAATACTGAAAATAAAAACAGGACAGAGCCTCATTAAAATGAGTAGTTAATAATGCCTTCTCTCATTGAGCTAATTTTTACATCCCTCTTGCTCTTCTGCAGATGTATTTAATTGCATATTAAAATTTTTTGATCTAGGCAGACTTAATTAAACTAAGATTTAACTGCACATTATAACGGATTAGCAAGGACCACAGAATTATTAAATCTATAATCTCCTAAAAATATTCCTCCCTCTCTCCCTTGGTTTCAGCTCAACGGGCAGCTTGCTTTATTGCCACTGGATTACAATAACGTGCTGGTCGTGTTTCTCAGTGGCCGAACAGCTGTAGTAGAGACAGCTGCTGGTATCACCGTGACCTATGACTGGTGGAGCACGGTGAGCGTTACTCTGCCCAGCAACTACCAGAGCGCAGTCTGCGGTCTGTGTGGAAACTACAATGGAAAAGCTCAGGATGACCTGACCATGCAGAGTGGCCAGATTGCCCCTGATGCAACCAAGCTAGGGGAGAGCTGGCAGGTGGCCACCGTACCAGGCTGTGCTGCAGCCTGCCAAGGGCCATGGTGCCAGGTTTGTTCAGACTCCCAGAAGAAAGTGTACGAAGCCCAGACGTACTGTGGCATTATTGCTGACAAGGCAGGGCCGTTCAGAGATTGTCACCGCATTGTGGATCCTACTCCTTACCTGGAGGACTGTATGTATGATGCCTGTCAGTATCATGGTCACCAAGGGTCCATCTGTGATGCAGTGAAAACGTATGTCTCAGCCTGTCAGAGCCAAGGAATCACCATCTACTCCTGGAGAACAGACAGTTTCTGTCGTGAGTTTTTATTGTTTTCATTTTAATATTTTCCTATTTCAGATCTTATTTTAAAATATCTTTAATCTTTTACCTTCTTCCTTTTTCCCTCTTCTCATCCTCTCCCACAGCAATGGTGTGTGCAGCTAACAGCCATTATACTCTGTGTGCCAGGGGTTGCCCAACCACCTGTGCCAGCCTAACCTCCCTTACCACCTGCCACAGGAATTGTACAGAATCTTGTGAATGTGACCAAAACTACATACTGAGTGGGGGTACTTGTGTACCTGTAAAAGAGTGTGGATGCTCATACAATGGTCAATACTATAAGAAAGGAGATGTCTTCTACCCTGAAGACAAATGCATGCAGCAGTGTGTCTGTGGGGAGAATGGTGCAGTTACTTGTCAACAGGCCAAATGTCGTCCAGGAGAGATCTGTATGCTTAAAGATGGAGTGCAAGGCTGCCACCCTGAGGGGCAAGGCAAGTGTGTGGCTTCTGGTGACCCTCACTACATTTCTTTTGATGGACGGAAGTTTGATTTCCAGGGAACCTGTGTCTATGTATTGGCCAAGGTATGTGGTAATGACAATGGCCAGCTGACACCATTCACTGTAACTCAGGGGAATGTGAAGTATGGAAATGGATTAGTGGCTGTTACCAAGTCAGTTGCAGTGGCAGTCTATGATTATGTCATCTACATCCAGCAGGGAGTCCGATGGAAAGTTACTGTGAGTTGAACTGCATTTATCCAAAAGAGCCTGGTGGTTATGCTTGTACATGTTTACTTAATTTCAAACAAAAATATATTTTTTGTTTTTCTTTCTCCCTTCAGGTGAATGATGAAATTCTAAACCTTCCTCTCTCCCTGGGTGATGGGCGTGTCAAAGTCACCCAGGAAGGTCTCAACGTGGTTGTCCGGACAGACTTTGGACTGACGGCGCTCTATGACACAGTCTATTACGTTGAGGTGATTGTGCCTTCTACATACCAGGGTAAGATGTGTGGTCTTTGTGGCAACTACAACAAGAACGCTGGTGATGACTTCATACTTCCTGGTGGCAAACAAACGAACAACGTTGATGACTTTGGGAAGGCATGGGTGGTGGACCTGCCTGGGAATGTGTGTGGTGGCTGTGGAGGACAGTGCCCAGTATGTGAGCAGGCCAAGGCTACTTTATTTGGAAAACCCGACTCCTGTGGCATCATAAATGCACCCAATGGGCCTTTCAAAGCGTGCTACAGTAAAATTGACCCAGCAACATATGTGTCTCATTGCATCTTTGATGTGTGTGCATTAAATGGCAACAAAGATACTCTGTGTAACAGTGTACAGGCCTACGCTTTGGCCTGCCAGAGTGCAGGAGTTCAAATCCAGCCATGGAGGAGCAGCTCCTTCTGCCGTAAGTTGCACATAACTTTATTAACTTTATAGAATAACTCTCAGTTTTTTCTATATTTTAGGTTCCAGGTACACATGCAAAACCTTTCAAATGTTTTCTCTTGTAGCTCTTTCCTGCCCTCCCCACAGTCACTATGAGATACGTGCAGACACCTGTGGTGGAACCTGTGCCAGCTTTATTTACCCATCTTCCTGTCCTGAAAGCATTTTTGAAGGATGCCAGTGTGATGATGGCTTTGTTTTTGATGGCATCCAGTGTGTTGCCTTAGAAAACTGTGGGTGTATGTATGACGGCAGATACCTGACGGTAAAACTCTAATGAAATTTTACTTTGTTTTCATGAGCAAAATAGAGTTTGCATATTAAAAAAATGATAAATGTTCTATTCTTATCATAATATTTAGACATGAACAGGGATGGAACATGTTCCATTTACCAACCTGAATGATAAATCATCTTTACAATGTATGTTTCTAGGCGGGCGAAGCAGTGGTGGACAAAGACTGTAAGTCCAAGTGTGTGTGCCAGGCATCTGGGCTGGTGAAGTGTGACAAACTGTCCTGCGCCAGTGGGGAAGTTTGTCTTACAAGAGATGGGGTCAGAGGTTGTTACATCAAACAGGGCCGCTGCAGCGTCAGCCAACTTGGCCTCCTCAGCTCCTTTGATGGCGTATCTGGAGCAATAGGTGCTCAAGGGGCATTTGAAATGGCATCTCTGTGCGACGTGAATGCTGCACAGTGGTTCCGTGTGGTTGTGGACGCCAGGGTGTGCACTAAAGGGGCATCGCTCACTGCTGCCACTGTGCATGTGTTTTTCAAGGAAACAGTTATCACAGTTAACAGCCAGCAAGTGACCTGGGTGAGAATGGCTTCATGTTTAACCATGGTAGTAATCATTTGGATGTAGGGTTTTATTTTCTTTCGATAATGTTCTTACTGTATTATTTGTTCCCTGTCTTCATGTCATGCAGGTAAACGGCAGGAAAGTTGCCCTTCCCAGCAAAGTGACAAGTGAGATTTCTGTCCAGATCTCAGACAAGACCGTTATCATCGAGAGGGCATCTGCTGTACGGGTCACCTACTCAGTTTCACAGGAGGTCAATGTCATTGTTGACGGCAGCCTATCCAGTAAAATGTGTGGAACCTGTGGCAATTACAATGACAACTCCAAAGATGATATGACGACCGCAGATGGGAAAATCACCACTGATATGTCTGAGGTCATTGCCTCCTGGAGCGCTGGGGACTTCTCTAGATGGTGAGTATTTGAAAGACGCACTATAACCCTTCATGTAATGGGCAAAGACACATTGCTACATTTAGTGCTGTGATAATGATAATGTGTTTTACTTCACTACATGCTCTCATTACACTGCTTCTAATGTTAGCTTTGTTTTAATAACATAACTTTTCCCGCTTATATACGCCTTTAACCTTCAGTTCCACTTGGAGTGGAAATGTTAATCTTGAACTCTGTCTTGCCCTTTATTATGCAAACTGCAGACTTAATTTGACCACAGAAATAATCAAGTACAGATCAGTGAGAGATGGGATGGTGCTATGACCACTCAACCGCTTATTCTCTTTACAGCAAGAACTAAACAAGGACTCCACAGAGCCTTTTAAAGGAATGAGAGTGTGGTTTTTAATTGCATTTGGTCCAATTTAATTAAGAAATGCCAAAGAATCCCCTATGGTAATTACTGATTAAAAAGCAGGTGAGGCTGACAGGCATGGCCATCAAAAGCTACCAAGCTTGCAATCCAATCACTGCTTGTCATCCAAGAACACTTAAGACTCATTTGGGTGCTATATTAATTTGAGCCTCCATCTTTAGTTCTGTGTTCTAGCCTTAAGTCAATCCCTGAGAGAATTAAGTTTTGTCATCTGCCTTCATTCAACGTCTTTTTTCATACATTTTCTCAACACCACACCCTAAACAACACAAGAAAATACCCCTTAGAAAAAGCTCAGCTGTGATGTGTATACATATGCTTTAAAATTACAGAAGCGTTACTTGTAGCCTCTGTTGTGCCTGAGTGAACATGACTTTTTTGCTCCACTGCCCTTTGACTGTAGTTTTTCGTTTTCTTTTTCATTTCAGTGGCCTGTAGAGATGTTGGTTCTGTGGTGATGGAACACATCTGCTATACAGGTAAAAACCAAAGTTGTTTTCTGTCAAAGCTACAGTATGAGCTGATGTTTTTTCTCATAAATGAAACAGATACATAATGTGGCCTTCATCCCTGCTTTTTTTTTACCCTCCATCAAACAGGATGAAGAAGAATGTCAAGTCATTTGGCTAAACTTGCTTGGACTTGCCTACAGCCAGTCTTGCTCATCATACCTCTGCACTTCCTCTTAATTCATGGCATGGTTTGGGTTGTTTACTGCTAGTCTGGTTCTCTGTTGTTCTCTTTGGAGTACAGTAATAAGCAAAATCTGTCTTATTATTGACAAACATCTCCATCTAGTGGAGGAGGAAATTATAGCATACATTTTCCAATTAACTCCAGCTGAAGATGAGAAACCGTCACAGGTCTTGCATCTGTAAACCTATTTAGTTTTTGAAATGTGTATTTTGCTGGATATGTTTTCCTTACTGTTCTGACCAATAAATACTTCTGCATCACACTTTGTGTGTAAATAATTACTAAATATCACAAAATAATGAGTTCATTATGATGTCTGTCACTATTCAGCGATTGGCCAGATAAAATTCACTCCTAAGGCCTATGACACCCCAAGCCAACAGTCAGCTATCAGCCACTGTCAGGCCCTCAGTGAGCACCTGTCTTCACAGTGTGTCCTGCGCTACTGCCCCTACACAGCTTTTCAGACCATTAGGCATGTTGAGTTGGCGGCGGACCTCGTCAGTGAGAGACACCACTCTGATTGGCTGTTAAGTTCAGCAAATCAGTGCATGAGAACAGTTTGGACATGCCACTTCAGTCTGTTCCTGTAGTATCCATGATTTCACCCATTTAGTGTGGTTTCTAAAAGATTTTTTATCTCTGCAGTTTCCTTTCTTCTTCCACAACCAAAAGTCCAAGGGCAGAGAATGACAGTGCCATTTGAATCTTCTTATCAGACATATTCTCGAATTAGAAGCCGCTATAAACAGCAGCTGTGTTGAACGAGAGCTGCTTTGTTTACAGCTAGCTGCTCTTCTTTCCCTTTTTGAATGGCAAATACAGATACTATCTTCTGCTGGCAGGGGGAGTTTTTTTCTATCAATGTCCCAGGGCTGCACTTTTTTTTCAGTCCAGGAAATCTTTCAGCATTTGCTTCCAAGTACTACAGCAAACTACAGCCTGACACTCAACACCACATAGCTTTCTTATTCCGCACTGGGTTAATATATTTGTAGTTTATTAAACAAACTGAAATAGTAATCAATCAATCATTGACATCCCCTATTAGAAACAATGTTCTGACCAATGTTGGGTAGCAGTAAAACTATCTAAATCACTATACGAATTTTGATGCAGGCCTATAAAGTGTGCTCTGTAAAATGTACAATGGTTTTTATATCAAATTTAAAGATGCATTAACTAACATTTAGCACAAATCTTGATAAATCAAGTAAAGAGTTGCATAGAAGTGTTGCCTCCCTGCTATACTAACCCACCACCCCTCCTCACTCTATCTTCAGGCCTTATATTTATTTCTTACCCTATGTGGCCGCTGTTGGTAAAATCTGCACTGCACTTCTTCCATGCCCCTGCTGATTTGAAGTTATAAGATATATTTTTCAAACCAGTATGGCTCATTTCAAAGACTGACCATGGAGGCTTCCTGTGCAGGTCTCAGGTACAAAACAAAATGGGAGGCTATGTTCTGTAGAACAGAAAGAGTGCAACAACAACAAAGAACAGTGGCCTGAACATAATATTACTGGGACAAAAACGTTACTTTGTTCAGTTTGCTTGTGCTACTGCAGATACATCTCTTACATACAACGTTAAACATACATATGCATATCACTAAAACGCAAACCTCTTTATTTGACATTGTGCCGCTGCAATGTTACTGAAAACCGCAGGCTTTATATTCTGTATACATTAGTCCTGGAGCCAGTTATTAGTGCTGCATTACCTGACTGCCACACTGGTCGCTGGCTGTCATGACCACTTATGACCTAGTTTCACAGACGAGACAGGAAGGGCAAAGAGAAGTCAACAGAGAAGAGGAGGGGACACTGCTTGAGTTTGTTTTGACTCCCACTTTGCCCTTAATGGTTGAAAGTTAGGGTTAGTTAATGCAGCTTTATGAATATTGGATCATAAAAACTGGTGGGGATAGCAACAGACTAAGTGATATATTCATAACATCTGCTCCTCTGCAATGTGAAGGCATCAAATGTGAACAGATGAACAGCAACCTGGATGATGTTAGACTTGTACTGGGACATGAATAGGCAGGTTATGTTACTATATCCTGGATATGATTAAAATCAAAACAAATCATAACAGGGAATTTTTTTTATTTAATAGTACTGACAGATGATGAGGAGGATAGGACACAGAACAGAAGCTGAATAAAGAGATCATCATAATTATCATTAAATATTGTAATGAAACGATAAATCCCCTCAGAGGTGCCCATCAAATGTCTTGCCCAGGGCACCAAAATGTCAAGAAACAGCCCTGTGCATGTCTCCAAAAACCTCCAGAGTAGTTCCTGTGAAAGTTAGAAGTGCCTGACCTCGGTATTATTTCTGGCTTCTGCTCCATCTGCCACAGCTGTTGTGGGACAAAATCTTGTGAAATCTATTCCTTGATAAGAAAGTTTATCTGTATGAAAGGTCATTGGCATAGGAGGGAAATGAGTACAATTAACATTCCACAAATGTCTAACTAGTCTAACTAGCCACAACAGCAGACTGGAAACAACATTCAGACCTGCTGCCATTAAAGTTTAGTCCACTCTGTATTTGCTAGAGGGGGTATCTGGCAGTTTGCTGTGGGAAAGGCCTTGGGAAAAGAATTTTCTTAAAGCTGAGAGAAACCTTTATCACTGACAAACTACTCTGGGCATGAAATAACACCAGTGTTCATGTTTTCACTTCACTGCACCAAGGCACTCTGAAAAACCATCATTTACGCCACAGTACAACAGGCTCACTGTTTGATGCTGTTTATGTCTGTTATATGGGCTATGCCTGTTGAGTGCACTGAAAATAATCTGCAGTTAATTATAACATCATGTTTTTCTATCGGTGCTGGCACTGGACCGCGTGTACTGTTGCTCTCCATGTGTTGTGTACAAGATAATTTGAGTGTGACAGTGGCTGCTGCTCGCTGCAGCTCCCCGCCCATCCCCATCAGTCCGAGACTAGACAGAGGAGCGGCGCTTGTCACAACCGACTACTGAAGAACTGACACATTCATTTTTAGTTAGTGGTTTTGTGCTTTTTTTATTTGCACATAAGAGAAGGCTTTGCATTTTAGCTTCTGAAGTGATAAACTGCTTGCCAACTTCGTCTCACTGGGAACTAAACTATGAGCCTGATACTCGGTAAGTTCATTTAAATGTCCAAATGTGCGCTTCTCTGAAATGAAGTTTAAATTCATTTGCCATATTATTGCCTTTTAAAAGCGTAGATCGCAAGTTTAAGGCTTCAAAAACACATGTTTTTGTCGTGCAAAAGTCTCTCCTTACTCGTTTTTTTCTAGATGTCTATGTCTGTATAGCTACCGATGAGCTTGTAACCACCTAATTACATCAAACCGCCGCTTGCGCTGCATTAGGAATAAACAAAAGTCCAACGCGCTTTTCCCGTTGACCGATGTATTACGGTGATCACCGTAGGAGTAGGTGTGTGCCATTTATATTTTCTTGGCGCACTGCTGTTGTGCTTGGAAAAGCCGAGCCATCTGAGAAGTTCAAGAGCAGTGTCACACTTTTCACCGAGCGCCTCCAGCAACAAAGGGGAACTTCTCGTTATAAATGTTCGATTTGTTTCGCGTTGGTTGGCGACGATAAGAACGTGAACTCCGAGGAGTCATTTAGCCCGAGTTGTCTGTCTCAAAAAACGGCTCACTAAATTTAGTATCATGCACCTTTTGGGGAAAATGTAATTTTGAAGTAGCCTACTTAAGTCATATTCCCTAATCACTGAAATGCCCATGCACTTAATTAATTAATTAATTAAAATTGAGCTTATGGCTCCGCCAACCACTCAAGTTGCAGTTTACATTCATGTCTCTCCGGACTCATGTGTAGTGAAGACATTGAAGCTATTTAATAAAAGGTTTTTCTTTTTGCAAAATGGAAATTATCACTATATTTGAATGAGTTGCGGTAAGAAGCAAGTACAGCTTTTTGTTCCTGTGAGGCTCCCTCTCGTGGTTGACATTCAGGGAACAGGAGGCCCCTTGTCCTGGTTGGCATTCAGGGAGAGGAACTGATCAGTTCATCACTGAATCCAAGTGGATTTTTGTGCCAAATTTTAAGCAATAGCCTTAAAGCATTCTTGAGAGAGGCTATCACTTCCACAAGATCAGGACAGACGACCCGCAAACATGCATTAATGTGGGCTTTGCAATGCATAACATTTATACCATGGCTTAGAGCTTCAGAGAACTGTAGAGCTGAACCTGTTTGTACCTGAATTATATTTTTGTCATATTTACATTTTCTCATGTTTTGGGACTTTATTGGGAAAATATTGCTGCAAAGTTGCAGTGTCCTTAAATTGTGGGCCTTCTGCAACTTGTCCAGTCATTAGTGGCAGCCTGGTTGTGTAAACGTAGCCCATAAACATATGGGTGTAAGAGAATCTTAGAGAATGTCCTAGATATTATATAGACAGAAAACCTGCCCCAGGTGGCTCATGCTCCATGTAAACTAGATGACCTAGAAAAACTAATCCAAACCCACTGACCATATATCAAAGGCAACACAACACCAGCCTTGCTTTGCACCCACCCATCCATTGCCAAGCAGCATGTTCTGAGATACCAAGCCTGAAATAGACCCTCCCTTACCCAGAGTCAGGACATGTATCCACCTAACATAGTGATCTTGTTATGTACAGTACTGTCTAGCTAAGATGTAGCTCTGTCCCGCTATCATGAATGGTCTAATTAATAGGATATTCTTGTTGAAAACAGTTATATAATGTTCTCTGTGGCTGGAGGGAGTTTTCCAAAGTAAAATAAGAAAATACCTTGAATGTTATCGGGTCTAATGAATCACTTTATTCAGTTGCATTAAGGAAAATGTAGAATCTGCTTGACCTGTACATAAAATTCATATATCTCTGCAGCATTCATTTTGACTCTTCTTTTTTGCTGGAGTACATGTTTAACAGTATCACATTAAGCTGCTGTTTAATGCAGATGAACTAATAAATGAAGTATCCACCCCCGATGTCTGGTCTCCTGCTCTTCTGGAAATTAATAACTAGCTCTATAGATAGATAGAAATACTTTATTAATCCCAATCTGGGAAATTGCATTGTTTCAGCAGCGGTTCACACTCAATATCAAGTACACATACCAATAAATAGAATAGATAACCCACTAAAATATAAAACAAATAAAAATACATTAAAAGTTAAAAACAAACCCAACACAATCAAGTACATATACATAATCACTAGCCTATTAACTAGCCTAAACGTTGTCTGGGCAGGGTGTTTAATGGGTTCTGGGTGGTATTAGAGAAATAACTTCTTCTGTGTTGGCAGTTTAAGTTTCAGAATTATTGTAGTATGGGGGGGACTCATTAAGTTACAGATTTTTTTTTTTTTTTTTAAATAAATCATACATCGTCCTGAGCCACTTTCTCTCTCGTCCTGTTACTTCAGTACATTACAATGATAAAACAACAATGATCCAAAATGTGTGAACAGGTATTACTTCTTATTGTCGTGTGTGTTTTAACGAGGTCCCTTTGTTATTGACAGGTATAATAGACCTTGTGGTGTTTGTGGCATTCAGCTCCTGGCTGGCTCCTGCATATGGTGAGCATCCTTTTTCCGAAATGCTTAACTGCTTTTCGAAACCTCAGTTGCTTCTCCTTTTTGTAGCTTTGTTTCAGATGCCTCCATGTTAAACAAGCTGATGTGTTTGTGTGACAGGATCACCGTTTGGCAGGGAAATGTCTAGTAAGTCTCCTGCATTACATTGTTCAATGCATGGCCTTTTGATATTTGAAGTTTTTGGTTTTTGCTGCTCACATACTTGGAACGGCTGCTTGCCATGCACTCTTTTAGCTCAGAGGTGTATAAAATGTTATTGTTAGCGGTACAGTGATACTCTTTTAGCTCAGAGGTGTAAAAAATGTTATTGTTAGCGGTACAGTGATTCTATTTTCAGCATAACTGACAGCGTATATTTTACATTTTAATTCATTTTACGTCAGCGTTTCGCTGTGAGAACAGTCCATGCCAGAACAGTGTAAACGTTTCCTGTTTGAATAATCATTTATTCACATGGCTGCCAAGCTTCCCATTCTTAATGCAGGTCCTATCTTTGCTTTGTTTCTCTGTGAGTGCTGGGTGTACTGTATCTGCTGAGCATGATGTCAAGCAGATTTGTCTGTACCAAAGGGGGTGAGGTGGTTATCGTCTCTGGCTCTTAAATCTGTTAGAGTCAGACCTTTTTTTCAGAGGCTTGTCAGCACTGATATGGGAAATGTATTTATGCCTAATAGAGGATGATTCTGACATAAGTATTTACTGCCTGATAATGAGGTCAAATGGAGCTCGAGCTCTTTAGCCTTTACATATATTGAGTTCAGCTGCCACACTCATTGGTAACAGTTCATATCACACCCCTCATATAGAGCATATTAATGACGTGACTCTCAGCTTTTAGCATTTATACATCTGTTCTGAGCTGCTAGGATAAATTGGGAAAGGCAAACTTACAGTTCAGATCTACTTACACTTGAGATGATTTCACAGATGATCACTTTACTGTATTGAACATAAGTTATCAAAGTTTATACATAACAAGCAGCCGCCTTACACTGAAATTGCTGTTCACAATCAGCTGAACATTTTAACAAGAGCTGTTAAAATAACACAGTAATGATTCAAATGTTTTCCTAGCAGAGGTAGAGAAGTGTTTATGTAACCTATAATGTGGTTCTCCAAGGTGACGTCATTCTCACTCCAAACACTGGTGCTCATATAAACAATGAATGGTTTGTGACTTTAGTATTATACAGAGTGACTGTCTCTCTGTAATTATTCTGCTTGTTTTTATTTTTACATTTTCCTTTCACTGAACATAAGGGAGACATTGTGATGGTGCTTGTTCACTATGCTTTCCAGCAGGATTTAAGTTGCTGAAGGCACAACATGAATGCAGCCAGTGTGTTGGTTTTTTCCCACATGGGATCAAAGAGATGTGATCGTGAGGAAGAGTCTGTACTTTGCCACATCAATTGTGGAACAAAGATTATCCCAGATCAGGGTGATGACATGCTTGTGCTGTAGGTAAACAGCAGGATGGAAAGCAGTGTCTTACAAGAGGTCATTCTGAGTGGCGTTGCACTTTGTAACTTTTCTGGGGTCTATATTAAGTTGAGGTAGAATTTGATTCTTATTAACAGCAAGTGGGACATGTACACATTGGGGTATGAGACAGAAATGCTACACGACTGGGATTGTAATCTAAATATTTAGATGCAGTTTCTTCAGACTATCAATAATCCTTTTTGTAAGATTATTACAATCCAGTATGTGCACTTCACCTGGATACAAGTTAGGATTTCAATGTACTGTGGACACTTTCTGGAGGGTTCATTTACATTTGCTGACATGTACTTATATAAACACAGGAATGTCTTTCAAAGACTAATGACATTTCTTTTTATTCAATAGGCTCGGCAGCAGACAAGGAAACGGGTAGGTACTATTTGAACAGAAGCTCAGAAAAGTCAAATTAGGACACGATGCATACATTTGAGTTGACACATACATTGATTCCAACACCAAACGGATTAGTTGAGTGACTGAGGCCGTAAAAAAATAGTTGTCATAGTATCATGAGTACTCTCTGAAGTAGATCGGGGGATGATTCTGCCTCTCATTTGTTTCTTCTGTCATTTCTCTCCCACCAGATTTTGACAGCCCTTTTCATTACGGTGAGTGGTCAGCAGACGAACATGGTCTTCTAATGGTCGACCCTCTACACAGGAAACGTCTGGGAAGTTGACATAAGCTTGCATTTTCTGCTTGTTTTTCCAGAATGATGGAAATTTTTCAACCCAAGGTCAACCTTTAGGAGTAGTCCCACTGCGAATACGTCTATTCTTGTCTGCTACGCTGTAGTTCTGATTTTCCATTCTTCATAGCAAAGAGCACAGAATGACTGAACATCTGTAGTGATGTTTCATGAATCAATACCGTCAATCATCAGTTGTGTAGTTGTCATCCTCCAGTTATCAGTAGCATTCTCCATACTCTTATGGTTTTTTTCCATCAGCACGGGTCAGCCCTCGGGGGCACAGGTTGACCTCTGTTTCCGTCTGTTCCTAGCAGCAGGGGATAATCTTGCTGACTTGGGCTCAGCTGGCTCTGCTTCTGCACAGGGCCCAGTAGGGCTGAGCTCTGCCTTCAACAGAGCCAGTTTATCAAGACACGTGATTTGCTGAAATGTTGCGCCAAGGGAAAGTCCTTACACATTCAGCATTGACTTTTTATCTGTGATAGTGAAGTCTCTCACTTGGTCTTCTCGCACGCCTTGGCTTGGCAGGGCTGATAGGAAAACACCATTCCAATCTGTGTCCATGCCCTGTTAGAAGACCACTAATGCAGCAGTTCCCAACCTGGGGGAGATTCCCACATGAGATTCCAAGATAAATATCAGGGATCACAAGATAATAACAGCAGTAAAACAAAAAACAATATACATAATAGTTTTTTTTTACTTAGATTTTCTTTTCTTATTACAGTTCCAAGTACTGTCATCTTCTCAGGTCTCTAAAACAACATGATAAGGAAAAGTTACATTATGCCATATGTTTCCCCTCAATAGTGAATTCAGAAAAAAAAAATTATTATAATTAATAATAATGTTTACTTTCTTTAATTATGCTAATGCCTGTCTTGCCATCTTGCTAGTTAAAGTAGGGTTGGTGATCCTAGAAAAACCAGCAAGCGGAAGCTCAAATTTGAAGGTAGACAACCAAAGAAATCCCAACCTTTCGTTTTGATGTCTCTCCGAAGCCACCACTCCAAAACACAACGCACACTGCAACATGCACTGCCTGACTACTGCTGATTTCAGGAAAATATCAGATGTCCCCAAAACAAAACAAAATCGATAGTTACCTGTCTAGCAGAAACACGGCCACCATGGCGTCACTTTTCAGCTCCTTTTGTTCTCTCAGTTGTCACTGTTGTTGAAAAGCCATAAATGGTGAAAGGTTTTGTACCGTTAATTTAAATGTACACATACAATAAATCTGTTGTTTGGACTAAGTAATACCGTTAACTTTAGGGTAGATACTTGCTTGTAACATAATGGAATTTTCCTATTAATTTCACAAAGATTCAGTATTTTTACAGAAAAAAATAATCATTTCTATATATTATGGCAGTAAAAAATATAGTTATCTACTGTTTATTGATTAATAGTAATACAATGTGTAAATTACAGTAATACAATGTTTTACTTTTAACAGTCTTTTACTGTTGCTATTTCACAGTATTTTACTGTAATTTCTGCAAACATTTTTTACAGTGTGGTTTTACTTCTTGCAACATCCAACTTCTTTTTAGCTATAACTTTCTCAAATACAGTGTTACATGCCCAGATCTGTGGCCCCGAACTGTAGATGGGGACCTCTGGTTCATGGCTGAACTGCTTTAGCCCTGGCGCGTAGCCAGTACCTAGCCTTAGAAGTCCGGGCTTTTCTGGCAGGGACAAATGAAGAGGGAGGCCAGCTAATGCCGTTCAAAACACAGGCTGAATTCCATCTTGGTAACACGAACACTGCGTTTGATGCCCAGTTAATCGCATTACATTCCTATCTATATGCTTAGGGTTGACTACTGTTGGGGGTTGCAGACTATTTCTGCACTGCTGCTTTTGAATCAAAATGTGTCCCAGTACCTCATAAAAGGGCTCAAAACACTTTGAATTAATGATATTTTTTAATTGTAAACATGCTACCATGCACTATAAAGTACAGTTTGTTTGTTTTTTCATTTCAGATTATGAATCTCTGAGAATCGGCGGCCTGGTTTTTGCAGTGATACTATTTGTCATGGGTATTGCTCTCATTCTCAGTAAGTGTATAACCAGCACCTTAAGAACCCAGCAGATATATAGTGTCAAGTGTCACTGCTAAACAAGCATGTTTCTGTTTTCCTCTGGTGGCTAGGCACGCTGATACTTCTTGCACAATCTCAGCACTCAACAAATTGCCCTTGAAACCTTACCCCTTTACTTACTCACAGTGCCCTTTCAAGGTTCCTCCCCCTACCTGTCAGCATGGGCTGTTACTGCATGTAGTAGTCCCGAAACCAAAACCAACCAATTAATAATTCACTGTGACCCATACACTCAGGCCATTGTTGATTCCTAGCTGCACTCTGTGAGCTGTGAGCAGTGGATGGAACTGATTATTATGAGTGGTGGAAGCCACAAAAAATATAAAAGAGCACAGAATGACTGAACATATGATGCTCTTATTCAACATACTGCCTCCTGTCTTTTAGAAGTTTAAACAGCTGAATTTTGCTGTGATTTAAGTACATGATATAATCTTGAGCTTAGACCAATAAGCTTCAAGCTAACTGTATGAGCCCTCCTGAGGTTTGCAGCCTAGGCAAGCTCGACTGTATTCATGTACCTATGAAACCTCGGAGCACTACAGGGGGTTTAGAAGTACACTATTAGAGTTGTATACATTCTTCTTTTTTATAATGTTTGTGCAACAATAAAGTGGCAATTATATGCTTGCACAATCATTGTTCTTGTATTTTCCCCACAAACAGGCCGGAAATGTACCTGTCCGAAGCCAAACAAGTAAAGGTAAGTAGAAGTTAGATCAAACAAACCACATTTGTAAATAATTTAGTTTTCAATCTAATAAATACTATATTTTTGTTGCACAGGCCCTTTTTATTTCACATTGCTGTTTTAATGTTCCACAGGTCCAGGGGTCCTGATGTGGAATCAGGTGTTCCAAAGAGTAAATAGTTTTCTTTTTTTTACAATATGAATGTTAAATACCAATCAAGCCAGTGCATTTTTTTTTAATGTTTTACAAATCAGTTACCTGACATTTTTTTACAGCTTAGTAGACACAGTAGCAGAGAGCAGTGGTCATCCGGTGAGTGTCTCACAAACATTTATAAATCTGTTTTCTGCAAAACTAAGGTGCAGTGTGTTTCCTTTGTTTCACGGTTAATTAATCCTCTACCTCTCTTCCACAGTGTTACTGAGTGGTGCCTTTAGATGGCAGCAAATACCATGATCACAGCTGAGGATAATCGTTCCATGAGCACACAAAGTTCTTTCAGTGTCACTGTTACTGTGCCCCTTTTTTTTCTTAATTTTTATGTTTTTCGTCATCAATAACTATTACTAGATAATGCACCACCTTTATTATACGGTAGCATTAGCGTGATTTGTATTTTTGCAAGTTTCAGATTGATTCAAAACAATAAAACAAATGTATTAAAAGGTTTATTTAATTTTTGTTTTTTATGCATCTTTATTTTGTTTGCCATTACAAGCAGACCAGTTAACACAGGCTTTTGTTGTGCTGCACTCGTGATCTGCCAACACTGCAGACAGTTCAATTACACGTGCCGCACACTAACTACCAGCGGTCAGGGTGTGAATGATTTATGTGCTGCATTGTGCAGCTCCTGCAGGAAGTTCTTTTCAAAAGCGAAAAATTACACTTAGTTTTACGGGTCTCTGTTTAGTGCCATTTATTGTCAGATGTTTTTGCCGCAGTGAGCCTAGCAGAAGGTAAAACCTGCCTATGCCAGCTTTAGTTTCTACCTGGAGTTGCAGGATCAGGTTGACTGCACTGCACAAAAGACAACATGAGAGAGAAAGTGGTGCATTTTGTTGTTTAAATTATATACATTATAACCAAGAAACTACTGTAAGGATTAGTGGACACAAAGCACAGTGTAAAGAAAAATACTAAAAATCATTTGATATCCAAAATATCTTTACACCCGTACCCATAAGGTACCCCCTCACCCCATACCACTCACACATGGCACACAAGATTTGTCACGTACTCAGATTGTTAAAAATAGTTAAGTTGTCTTGTCTCCTTTGTGGTAAGATTACATCAGCTACTTACCCCACTGTTTATTTTAACTTATGGCTACTGAAGCGACCCACCACACCCTGACATACTGTATTTTGTCACTATTGGGAGTTCCCCTGGGTTGCAGCACTGGGGAGGCAATGTTTCACTGAGACCACCAGAGGGCCCTTTGCTGAGCTTATACTGAGGGTTTATGTCTCTATTTCTGTCCAGCTACATGGTTTCATAGCCATAGTCTTAAACTGCATCCCAGCAACCTGCTAAATTTCTGGGAGACGGAGCTCTTCTACATCCCTGCAGTGCAGCCATGGCCACCACAGGTTTGTTTCTTTGTTCCTCTGTCATATGATTTGTTTGTTACATGTAAGATTATCATATTGTCTAAACTAGGGAAATATATGCTTGTTTGGTTATTATACAAAGAATTTTGTGATATAATTTATAGCTAATGTATCTCATATCCTGAATTAATGAGTAGCATTGTTGCTACACCACCGAGTGAAAATTTAACTGCTGATGTCAGTGTTTGGTTTGATTTGATTTGATTTGATTTATTCTTTGATTTGATTTATTCTTTCAAGCATGTAAAGACAGTCGATATGTCAACACACATAATTTTACACATATCCAACAAATGCTAATCCAATATCAATTTGCTTATACCTAGTACATGCTTGAATGGAGTAGGAAGAAGTCAGACTTATCCAGTCCTACCCCATGACATCATCTTACCATCATTGGTTTGCAAGCAGTATCTCTACATAGATAATTCTCTTCTACACCACACAAGTAATATACTAAAAAAAATTATAACAGAGTGTTAACATTCTTACATAATTACATTCTTACATAATTATCTTCTACACCACACAAGTGTTTTAAAAAAGTCCCCAGTGCACTGAACAATTTTAAAGATTTTCCATGTTTCTCAAATGAAGCATTTTTTGAGGCAGAGGGAAAACTGGAAAGAAATGCAAACTGCCAGCTCAGATACATTATTGATGCCCAAATATCCTAACAACCTGGCACATGCTGGAGTCTGCAACACAGTATTTCTTTGTTATATTACATTACAAATATCTTATATATACACTAGTCATTTCAAGCGGTTCCTTAAACTGCAAATCTCCTTATAAGCACTTATTGTTCACGCTCTTTTTCGTCTTTGCTGCTGTGATGATCCCCCTGTATCTTGCTGTTGGCTTGTAACCCGCTTTTTCATGGTGCATCTTTTTTCTGCTGAGCCAAGATGCTGCATTGAGCACCTCTCACTGACAAACATACTCCTGAGGAGCTGTGGAGCCAATCCTGCAGATCCAGAAAGCTGCAAAGCCTTGCTGTCTCTTTCACCAGATTAAAAACACATCCTTAAAGCTTATTGCTGTCTTTTATGTTGGACTCAACACCTTTATTTCCATTTGCTCTGTAACTGACCAGAATCTTTGTTTGCAGAAACAGTGTTCCCAGACCAAAGTGACTTTGATTATGGTAAGATTGAAACCATTTACTAATTTCAAAAGTAACACTATGTCTAACATACCATATATAATACTTTTTAATACAGTATGTTTTAGATTCATGATAAAATCGTATGGCTGTTTTTCAAAGTCCCATTTGGTTCTGTCTGTTGTAGATTATGAGACTTTGCGGACCACAGGAGTTATCCTAGCTGTTGTTATGTTTTTCACTGGCATTTTAATAGCTCTGAGTAAGTTTAGACTCTCTTTCAAATATCCTCTTATTACAGAAGCTTTATTATATATGCATATGCAATTTTACCTTTGTAACTAATTTGTCATTCTTCAAACAGGTAAAAAATTCACAAAATGTGTAAAATCCTCATCCAAGTAAGAGTTGTGAAAAGCTTAGTGGATGATCCGCCTGTGCATGCTGTATGAATCTGACTGAAAGGGAATACCCAACCAATGTGGAAAAATATATTTTTTGACTAAAACAGAATTTCCCCAAGTTTTTCCTATCCCTGCCCTGGATGCCTTTTCTCTTAATGTCCTTTCCCTGTTCTGCTTACACAACCCATACAACACTTCTAACACATTAAAGAGTTTGCAGAGAACCTTGTGTGACTAATCACACGTGGGCAGTGCTTTGAAATTTCCTTGATCTTTGTGCTTGCTCTTGAATATCGTGTTTAGATGTATGTATCACACTCTCATGTGTTGGTAGTGTCTAAGCAGTGTACAGTCACAGCTGATCGCATGCTGCTTGTATGGCCAGAAAAGAAGAAAGATAAGTGTTTGTTTGATCAGGACAAAAACTGCATATTGGTCAATAATTACTTGTTACTTCAAACCTACAACCCTGTGGCTTCAACTGTTTTTGGATCCTGCAACTCTGATAATGGAAACACTTGCTCAAATTTAACTCCAAGATGAAGTTGTGGCCACAGTTTTCAAATTGCAAAACCATAATCGGTAATCTTGATTAATTAAACATGCTAATATTTGCAAATGCCATGCCTTGTTTCTGCTTGCAGGTCAACCTCATCTGGTTCCCAAGTTCCAAAGGCTGAAGGTAAATTCACATGACTGTAGAATGTGTTTTGGGTCATTATTTGAACAAATGAGGTCTTTATTTTCTCCCTGTAACCATCTCTGATTTGTTTCTTTTTCTTCTGCAGCACCTCCTCAAACAGTATAGAAACTATAGCATATGTTTGAAACAGAGAGAGGAAGCCACCACAAGAACAACACTGGCAAATACACACGCACATTTTGTTAATGGCCATACAGTATCTCTTAGGAATAATATACCTCCGACAGCCAGATGATCAATAAACAGGGTTTTCCAATGCATCCAGACCTGGTTTTATTAAGTGTCCCACTTTATTCTGTAGAAGGTTTTAAATGTTCAAAATGTCTATCTATGGATTACTCACTGCTCTGTGTGTGTGTGTGTGTGTGTGTGTGTGTGTGTGTGTGTGTGTGTGTGTGCGTGTTGACACTAAGAGCGTGACTCAAACCCCCCCCAAAATACTACCAGCCATGAGATGTGATAAAGCACATATATTCAAATGGACAATTGTTGCTTCTCTTGTGTAAAAATAGTCAAATTAAGAGCATGACCTCATAATTATAGCAAACTGTAAATCTAGCAGTAATGTGCTTAGAACTGCATGCATGAATAAATTATGACAGCTGTCTTTGCCTTTATTTTTCTGTCTCTTGCCAAAAAAGCAACAATAAATACCATGACATGAGGAAACAAATGAATATTAGACCAAATAGCATGTTGTATGAACAACAGCAAAATGAAAAAGACCATATTCAGTAATGTACTACAGTCTGCAAAAAATGGTTAAAACGTGTATTACAGTGTTCTTTTGGGGTTTTACTATTAGCAGTTTCCTTTATTTTACTGCTGTTTATGTTACCACTGCTTCAAATAAATGTCTACTCAACATGATTTTTATCAGTCTTTAATAATCTGAAAGATTACATTGCTTATTTTATCATGAAGATGATATATCACAGAAATTACATTTGAAAAATGTTGCTATAATATTGTTTCATTATGAGTCAAATTTTTCATTTGCCTTTTACTGGAAAGTACAACATGTATGATAACAAAGATGACACATAGCTGAAAGACAGGTCAGACCTTATTTGTCATTTAAAATCAGTCACAAGCAAAATGAATTCACCTTTGACTGGGGTTCACTGTCATGGCTGTAAAGGTCAGTGAAAAATAAGCTTGAAAAATAAATACTATTGTGAGTGTGACTGTAAATAACTGATGTAGACACAGATGGGGTATTTTCCATCCTCTTAATTTCTGTAGCCAGATGTAAATGGGGCTGTTCAAAGGGTGCCCCAAACACCAAAACAATAAGATGGAACTTTAAATACAGTGTTATTGTACTTTTGTTTGCGCCTCATGACTAAAATGTACAGTTAGTCATGTTATGTCTCTGTAATAAGAGCATTCTTTGTCACAATCAGTTTCAAATGCATAATACACTTTCTTTTTCCAAAAAGGAAATTGTGCCTGATGTTACATAAGTATGATGCATACAGACTATTAAATTATCTGTTTCATCATATTGTTCTCATTTTTAAGATGACTGAAATCATAACCACCACTAAGTGTATCAATATGATAACTTATCATGATGGGGGGGTTGACAACAGAGTCAAAACAGTTTCAGGGGCATCGCCCTGAGGTCATACTAACGATTTCACAGAAATCAACATAAAACAGGGAACGTAGCTGCCTGTAGGAAACTAAATATTACTACGCTTTCCACAATATTGTCTTCACCTTCTACAATCTAATGCTCATCATTTCTGTTCAATTAAATGTTTTCATTTCAAAATGTTCAGAATCAATTTTCAATAAAATAAATATATTAAAATATATCTTGTAGTCAGTTTGTCAGCTAAAGTAAGAGCATTTTCTGTAAATGCTTGATGGAGTTTATCACATTTTGGAATGAAATACTTCACTACACATATTTTAGGCTGTGCATGGAAAGATAAATAAAGCGCTTCTTTTAAAAGACACTAAATTTGAGGTAATTTAAGCTTTATGTATTAAAGCATTACTTGTTTAATCCAGTGTGAATTATTTCAAAAGATATATATACCAAAATATTTTGTTAATATGTGGGTCACAAACTCACTACAAATCCCCTTCTCAACAGAAGAATCATCTTAAAGACTCATTCACTCCCATTGGGGTTACAGTTGATTTAAATTATTCTTGGTCCTGCAAGGACATGTTACGTCGACGAGAGGAAGCACTTCGTTTCTTCAGCATGAGCTTAAGCTAGAAATTTAAAGATAATGTGATAATGAATTAGCCTTAATAAAAACTGAAACAGCAGGGCTCAACTTTTAAAATGCTGAGTAGCTCACCTGCTCTCCCTGAGGGCCACTCTGCAGCAGGTGAGCTGGCTGGTCATTCTCCATGTTGCGGATGCTGGGATCAGCCCCTTTGCTCAGCAGCAGCCGCAGGATCTCCTCCTGGTGGGGGTTGCCATGGAGACCAGCTGCCATGTGTAAAGCTGTGTGACCATGAGCCTATATGAAAAGGGAAAATGCAGCACAACTCACACCGTCAGGTATGTATACATAATATAATAGAATATATATTTGTACATATGTATAAACACAAATCCAGTTGTGAGTTTCATATCGGTGTAGGACTCACTTTCATGTTGACAAAGTCTTTAATGTTCGGCAGGGGAATCGTAAGCAGATAACGCACCAGATTAATGTTCCCCTCCTTTACAGCCAAGTGCAGCACAGTCTTGTTACTTTTGATTTCCTGGAATTGTACAATTGGAAGTAATGGGAAAAACATAATGAAACCACAAGTCAAACCAAGATTGAAGTGTCAAACAAGAAAGCGAAATCAAAAGTGGTGGGAGGTGGGTCCTGCTATGACAGCAACATGGTTAGATAGGAACCTGGGCACTTCCCCTGCCAACTATATCTTTGTTAATTAAGTTTAGCACAGTGGGCTTTGGTGCCTCTGTACTCTTGTCTATCCATTCATTTATTAGTTCTCTATAATATAATAAACAGCTCATGTGATATTTAAGAAAGGGAGAGCTGTACTGTACCTGGCTGAGCGGGGATGCCCCTTCTCTGAGCAGCATCTGCACACAGGTAAGCTTCTCTGCAGCCTTGGCCTGAAGGCTACCATTTGCCAGCCCACTGGCAGACAAAGCCTTCATGGTGACACTGTGAGAAATGGCTGCACAGTGCAGAGGAGTCATACCTGAGGTAAAGAAGAGGGCACATTTAAATTAAGGCTGTAATGATGTAAAGATGTTAAAAATTGCAGCTGAAAACTTGGTTAATACAGCTTCCCTGCTGATTAATAATGTGTATAGTAATTGGTAAAACACTAAATCACCCTCAAAATTTCGGGCCTCCAGGTTAACAGCAGCTCTGTAAGACAGAATTGGCTGCAAAAGATAAAAATAAAAAAATCAATGTTAAGGTCTGTTCAGTGATTTGCTGAGAGAGTCGTTCATAATTCAGCCCTACTGCTGCTTTACCTGCAGAGCCCCTGGGAAGCCATAGTGTGCAGCCAGATGAAGGGCTGTCTGTCCGTTAACATCACAGGCATTCACGTCTGCTCCTAATGACAGCAAGTCTTGTACGATGTCCGGCTGGTTTGCCGTCACTGCCACCAGTAAAGCAGTCTGCATAAGCACAATTATTGTACAATATTATTTTTTGTGATTAAAAGCAAACAAACAAAAAAGAGCCCAAAATAGAGCTATTTGCATACTTGGGAAGATCTGTGATTTTTTTTTTCCCCATACCTTCCCATTGTGTTCTTTAGCATCAAGACTCCCTATATCCCTCAGCCTCTCTGCAGCAGCAAAGGCGCACTCTCGGAGCCCCTTGGCAGTGTAGATGTGCAAGATGCTGTCAGAATGAAGGCAACATAGGCAAACCAGTTATAAATGAGGCTGGAAATCCATTTCACACTATTCCTTTTCACAATTGAAATGGTCTTTCCATTTCATCTGACTTTTAATCACCGAGCATGAGTGGCTGACTTGTTAACGTCTTTAGTTTTTCGTTCTAATCTTTCTAGGATTACAAAAGTGCACATGTGGCTCTTATGTTTAGCATATGACTTAAAAGGAAACTCTTACGGAAGTAAATAAATATAGTAATGTCCAGAAAGAAAGTGTGCATTGTTTTAAATTGTCCTTCACAAAAGCTAAAATGTCACCTCATTCTATGGTGTGTGTGTGTGTTCTTGTACTTGCTATATAGTGAGAACCAAAAAAATATTTTTGCTACAGATTGAGGACATTTTTGGAAAGCAAGGACATTTTGGCCTGTCCTCTCTTTCTGAAGCGCCTTTTTGAGGGTTAAAGTTTGGTCTTAGGGTTCAGGTTAGAATTAAGCTTAGGTTAGGGGTAGAGTAAGGGTAGGGTTAGGCATTTAGTTCTAACAGTTAAAGTTAAGGTAAGGGGTAAGGAAATGCATTATGTCAATGAATGTGCTCACAAAGATAGAATACAAGTGTGTGTGTGTGTGTGTGTGTGTGTGTGTGTTTACTGTAATCTTGCTATCTGAGAGGACCCATACTAATACTGCTAATAAAGGTTTATGTGTTTTTCCTGGAGCTCACAATCAGACGCATGCATTCCATCATAAGCACTCACGTGTCTCCGTCTTCGTCTTGCTCGATGGCACTGTTATAGTCCATCCCACTAAGCAGCATTCTGGCCTCTTCCAGCTTGGCGACATCCATCGACGAACCAAAACTCAGCTGTGTGATCTCACTAGGACCCAGAAGTGACCAAGACGAATTCATGCTGGGATCTGAAACTGTCATCGGGCACTCCTGCTCAAAAGAACATAGGATATGATTTCAGAAAAAATGCTGCAATATGATAATACACTTACAAATGAAAGAAACATATTGGCTGAAAGTCTCTGTGATGAACAGAGGTGTCTTACATATGGCTGAGCCATTGTATCCCTAAATCCTGGGAGCTGCTGCTGTGTGCCATATTCCGATATCATTGGCAAGCTGTATCCTGTGGTATAGCTGGGTCCTGGATGGCTGGAGTAGTAACTGAGTGTTGGCTCTGCTGCTGAGGGCCACTGCTCAAAGCTCAATGCCATGTCTGAATAGTTGTTTGATGCACCTAGAATGAGAGAGCAGAGTGTTACTTATTTATTGTCAACAAATGTCATTAAAAACCCAAATTGTTTCAGTCTACTTCTCACTACTTTGACTTCCCTAAATTGTCTGTGGCAATCAGAACAAGTACAACTGTTCCTATTGAGGATGTAGATCTGTATAATAAATAGGTCAATACATCCATCCATCCATGCATTTTCCTCCGCTTATCTGGGACCGGCTCGCTGGGGCAGCAGTCTAAGCAAAGATGCCCAGACTTCCCTCTCTCCAGACACTTCCTCCAGCTCCTCCGGGGGAATGCCAAGGCGTTCCCAGGCCAGCCG